CCCCCCCCCAACCCCCCTTCCCTCCCCCCCAAAAAAGGTCTATCTCTTACTAGAAGAGCCTATAAGTATATGCAGGTGGATGGAAGGGTCATAGGAGTAGTATTAGATAACTGTTTGAAAATGAGCTGATAACAAACTACTTGGAAGGGCGTTTAATATGGGGGGGGGGCTACCGGGTGGAAAAGGGGGGACTAATATCCAGGATAGACATCCATGTGTATCGTCAGAGTACGTCTTTATGGCGTTCGTTTTTTTAATGTAGGAATTTTCAAGAAAGTTGTCCAAAAGATATCAAATCGTTTTCAAAATTTAATCAAAAACGGGCAACGAAACGGCAGCCGTCATTCTGATAATAATCATTTTGCCTTTTTTTCGTTTTTCTTTTTTGTTAGCATTGACACCTATTCTAACAATCCCTATTGGCTCAGTAACTACACAAATTCCTTTGTGAGTCTTGTAGCAAAGAAGTATGGTGATATAGTGGTTGGTAAGTTGGTTTATATTTATTTGAAATTCTTCTCCTAACAACATTTGTACTTAAATGTGTCATACTGTGTAAAAAAAGAAAAAAAAGAAAACAAGGCCAGGAAAAAAATAGAAACGCCAGCCAATTTTAATAGTTGCGTTTCTTTCTCGTACTTGTTGCTGGGTATGGCCAACTTTCCTATTGTCTAACTTGCGATATCCCGAAGATCTTCGCTACAAAACCGAACGTCTCTGAGTATTCTCTTATAATTCTCAACGAGTTGACAGTGGTTTGTGATTAAGTATTCAGCAGTTGTGATGATGAGGACTAACCAATTATCGACAAATCCTTTAATACGAGATTGCCAAAATTCTGATGCTCTCCGAAAATTCCCGAAGGAAACGGGCATAGCTTCGTACCGTTAGGACTGGGCTCTAGGCCCATTGCATGCTGGGGCCACACAGGCCCGGTTACCGTTGCTGTTGGAGTTGTAATCCAGCATAGGAATGGTAGTGTATTAAAACCGAAAGATAATTATTTTGACCATTTGTTGTTTTAAGTGTCCAAATTTCTTTTTGGACAGGTCAGTTCTTTTCCCATACACACAAAGATGATTTCCGCCTCCACATACCTGCAGCAGACGCGAGTGCTCCCCAGCAGGATAGTGCCAAGTCGTTTGCGCTTCTTGCGCCCGCGATATCACCGGTTTATCAGAACAACCCGGCATTTAGGGTGATGTCACTGGACATGGAACAACTGTCTCTGTTGGACTACAGCCAATACTACATGGATCTAGTGATGGCTACAGGTTAGATGTTAACATAATTTTATGAGTATGCATTATAGTAAACGAACCTGACTCCTAGGTTACAATCTTGCTAAATTTAAATGAAAAATTAAGACCACGCTCCCCCCATTTCAGTAATGGAAAAAATAGCGCGTTTTGGTTGTAGCGCGAGTTCACCATTGCTCAGGAGAGGGAGGGAGCGGAGGTGTATTTCTTATGATTGTAGCTCAGCTCTTTACCCCTTTGAGAGATAGGTCGGTGTTTTGAGGCAACGAATTCCATAGTGTAAACGTAACTCTTCAAAGATCAGTTTAATCTCTAGTTTCGTACGCAATTAGCGGCCGAAATTTTCTAACGCAGACAAATAATGCCATGTGATCTGATTTGATCTGAAGCCTGTCTACTCCACTTCGAAGGAGTCCCCCGCCCCGCTCCCGTGACCTGGCCGGGTGTTCTATTTGCGTGTGTTGTACTTCTAGATTACGGAATGTAAGATGCATCAAACGTCGGGTGAGCTTAGCTGTATTAAGCGTCTGGGAGACGTATAAAACAGGCGCATTTTACGTCTCAGATGTATAATTCTTTTAGCCTAAAACAAACGGACTTACCTCAACTGAGAATCAAGTGACTGGCCAACAGTCTCTTTCGTAATTTTTTTTTTTTTTTTTTTTCAACATGGAGCTGTTAGCAAAAATATCTTTGGCGAGACACGCTTATCGGAAACTTTTGACGATACATATCTCAGGCCTCGTCCACCGTACGCCGGAGGAATTTGAAAACGGAGATTTTCGTACTGAAAACGCATCAAATGTTTTCTGTCCACACTTCATCGGAGGAATTTAAAAACGCAACAGTCACCGGTCATTTTGAATTTGTGTTTGATGAAAACTGGGTCAGGGAAATCACGTGATTAACGTCACTTCATCGTTTTCTAAAAGCTCCGATTAATTTCAAAATGTTTTCCGTCCACACGAAAACGAAAAGGGGGCGTTTTCAGTTTCCTCCGGTTTGAAGAGCGTTTTCGAAAAGCTCCGTTTTCGTGCCGGATTAGTGTGGACGGTAGGCCTAACCGTAGAAATAAAGCTGCGTTTTCAG